TTATCGAACAAAATTAACGAGCCGAACACGAGCTTCTTAACAAGCCGAACACGAGCTGTTCGCGAACAACGAGCCGTTTTGACAGCCCTACCTCCTTACAAACAGCTAACATTTTCCCCTACGCTAAATTTGGAGAGATTATTACATTCGGTTGATGATGTGAATTTTTTCATGCTGCTGCACAAACGACATGCAAACCATACCATCATATTATTTTTCCCTAAATCTCACTCTCTAAATGACTTTCTCCATCACACTCAGACCAAAATCTCTCTCTCTCTCTCTCTCTCTCTACTCATTTCAACTTTCACTGCCTTAGGTTTCTTTTTCTTTCCATACTTATTCAACTTTCACTGCCTTAGGTTTCTTTTTCTTTCCATAGGCTAACCCCTCTCTTTCTCTTTCCTTCCTTCAAACCTCCTACTCCACTTCTCACTATCTCTCTTCCCTCTGAATCACCAATCCACTCCACTTCCATTCTTCCCTCTAAAATCTCCCAATCTCTTTCCTTCTTTCAAACCTCCTACTCCACTTCCATTCTTCCCTCTAAAATCTCCCAATCTCATCTAACCAAACCACAACCAATTCCCAGCCAGCTTCCCAGCCAATAATACAATCTCCAAAGCTCCCATTTTCCTCCCCATCCATGCTCCAAAATCACCAATACTCTACCATGTCCTAAACAACATGATGGACGGAGTAGAACCCATAGACACAGGAATCCTCTCCCACCACTCCAACCTCCCTCTCCAATTCCTCCAAAAGAAGGAATCAAAAGAACTCCCCATCTCCTCCTCCTCCGCTAACCACCACCACTCCATCTCCACCAACCCCAAACCCTCACCCAAACGCAGCTCCACAAAAGACCGCCACACCAAGGTCGACGGCCGTGGCCGCCGCATCCGCATGCCCGCCCTCTGCGCCGCCCGTGTCTTCCAACTCACCCATGAACTCGGCCTTAAATCCGACGGCGAAACCATCAAATGGCTCCTCCAACAAGCCGAACCCGCTATCATCGCTTCCACCGGCACCGGCACCATCCCTGCCAACTTCAACTCCCTTAACATCTCCCTTTGTAATTCCGACTCATCCATCTCCGCCGGCCCATCGCACCACTTCCACTCCTCCGTCGCTCCACCACCCGTTCGCCCCCATCCCAATTGGGATGTCGAGCGGTGGGACAACGAGCTCATTGCAACAACGGCTCATTTGTTCGCCTCCGGCGAACCGGTGTGGACATCATCTTCGACGGCAACGATGTTTCGAGAGTTCATGAACATTCCCATGGCAACTCCCATGACTTCGCCGCTAGGTGGCGGGGGTGGCGGTGGAGTAGGGCATTCGGGTCTTATGGCGGCACTTAACTCGTTTAGACCGGTGGAGGCCGGAAGTCAAGATGAACGGGAGAGGAATGATCATAGCATGACTACAACTGAGTCTTAGCCAAGTTTGCTGCTTAGCAATTCTGCAGTTCTATATATATATATGGTTCTATTTGCTTGTTTCTGCTTCTTTGTTATTATTATTATTTTGTTGTTTTGGATTATCTATCGGTGGAAACAATTCTTTGATCTTTAATCTATGTGAAAGTTACAAAAACATTTGATACATTGTGTTTTCTTATTACATATTGTTTAATTTTTAGCTATTTATAATTTTTCAATTTTTTTTTTGTTTTTTTATAATGAAGTTTGCAGTTAATTAGAACTGTTACAGGATTGGAGTTTCTAAGGTTTTATTAAACAAGCACTTGCCCAATAATCCCTTAAAAAACTACATAATTGTGGAATGAAATAGTTGTAATTAATTTTAATAAAATTCAGAATCTGTTTGAAGCAGCTGCAACTTATTAAATAATCTGCTGATAAGTTAGTTGCGATGACTATTAAAAATTTTTATTTTTTTGAAAAAGCCAGACCGCTGCAAGAAAGCTGTCACCGCACCTAGATAGGTGCGGTGCTAAAACGTTGTTTTTCAGTTTTTTCAAAAAAAGGCATAAGCTGCCAAAACGCAGTTTATCCAAACAAGTGAGGTGCATTTTCAAAACTCCCACCGCACCAAATAAGCTATCACAAACAGACCCTCAGTATAAACACAGCTTTTCTATTAGTCTACACTAATTATCAGTCTTTTTGCAGATTCAAAGCTTCGAAATGTAATATATTAGTAATTGCAAAAAGCAAAGTTTGCATGCAACATTGGATTGAAAAATGAATAACAAATATGAGTAATTAATTACTTCATATAATCATGGAGCTTACATTTCAGTAGTCGGCTTCTAAATATCGGAAGATCTAATTATCATGTTTAGAGCACTATCTAATAAAATTTGAAGTCATGATGACATTTTTCAAATATTTTGTAATTTTTATTAAATATTAATCATTATGTTATGAAAAAAGATAATAAAATATCCTTTACAAATAGTTTATTTTAATTATAAATATTCGGCTTCTAAATATCGGAAGATCTAATTATTTTGTTTAGAGCACTATCTAGTAAAATTTGAAGTCATGTTGACATTTTTCAAATATTTTGTAATTTTTATTAACTATTAATCATTATGTTATGAAAAAAGATAATAAAGTATCCTTTACAAATAGTTTATTTTAATTATAAATATTTTTATAATTTTAAAGTTTGATTTATGTAGTTGAATTTTATTAGTAATTGTTACAAATTTCTAAGAAATACAAATAATAGTTAGAGAATTGATAAGAGTGACAATAGGATTAAAAGTGTGGCTATATATGTTGCATTAAAGTGGATTTGGGAGAGCACTTATGCAATGAAATAAGATAAACTTCCCTCCTTAATATATATATATATA